CTGTGTTCCTATTGCCCAATAAACCTTCTGTTTACTGGCTGGCTGAGAGTCACAGTGAATCCCAGGAAGAGGGGTGCAGGCCCCAGACTCCCCCACACTCCGTGACACCCTGGGGTGCCTACATCCACAGAGGCACCTCCGTTTCCACTTGTAGACATGCAAAGCCACCTAAGTCTTGATGCCGTGGCACAGCTAATGAGCTGGTGGGAACCTGCACTCACACCTAAGCCCTGGCATGACACTGAAGCCAGGCATCCCCCCCCATATTGCCTGGGGGGACTGATCCAGTAGGTGTGCTTAGTGCAGGTGTAACCCACCGCAGCGATTACTGGGACTAGCTGGTTGGGAATAGTGGTGGCTGGCTCTCTGTGTGTCCTCCCGAATACACAATAACCCAGTGATTAGGGCATTCACCTGGGATGTGGGAAACCAGTGTTCAAATCCTCTCTCTATTTAATTATTTACACACTGGAACAGCTTCCACAGGCGAAACTCAGACCCACCCACAATACCCCCCAGCCTGGGGGTTCAGGCACTCACTTAGAAATGGGGGAAACCTGGGCTGAAGTCTCTGCTCCAAATGAGCCAGAGCGGGGATTTGAAAACAGGTCTTCCCATCGCAAGGGAGAGCCCGACCACGGAACTGTGGGCTGTAATGGGGCAGGTGTTTCTCTCATTTTGCCTGTGACAGGGCTGCCCTGGCCTAGGTGCCTAACTCGAGAAGCGGGGTGGGGATCGGTGCCTCCCTCCAGCCAGCCCAGATCCCTGGGAGCTTCTGGCACCTTTGCGGATCTGGGCTCTCAGCCCCATGCCTTTCTTCTGCATTTCACTCCTGGCTGGCTTGGGTGCCTTCCCGCTCAGCTTACTGGCTTCTGAGACTCTTTCTTAGGCACCTAACGCTCCCCATACCATGTGTGGGGAGCCCCGGCGCCTAGCTCAGGGCTGTGAATTCCACTGGCCAGAGGAGCACAGCAGAGTCAGTCAGGCATTGCAACTTCTAAGACCCCTTTGTGAATCTAGCCCATACCTGCTCTCTGCTCCAGGGATAACAGCACCGCCCTGCCTCACAGAGGGTTGTGAGGATAAATACATTAACGCGTGGGGAGTTCTCAGGCACTACAGGAATGGGGGTGGAATCAGTGCCCTAGATCGATTTGTTTGTGATCCTCATTCACCCATCCCCATTCGCTGCGGCTCTCATTGGTGTCTTGTGCGTATGTGCCGTGCTCACGTGTCTGGGCACGACTGGATTCTAAATCATAATGTTATTCGTCGTGTTCTCTCCCGCTGAGGCCTGCGCCACTGGATTCATAAGTTCAGCACTTTAACTTACAAATGCAGGGATAAAAAAACCTGAAAAATTGTTCGTCTGTAAAATCTGCTGCCTGTTTTCTCCCTGCTGCCCCTTGTGCCTGGGGGGTGCTCCCCAGAAACTTCTGCAAAGCTGCCTCATCGTGCACCTTCCAAAGCCTCCTCACTACTCTCCTTTGCCAGGATCCCAGCAAAAACCTGACAGCGGCGTCTCCTTATGCTCTTCCATCAGTCCGTGGCCAGCTGGTGTCTCTTGTCTTCGGTTGTAGACTCCTTGGGAGGGGACAGCGTGGCAGTCAGGTTTTGTTCGTACAACACCTTGCCTGGGAGTGCTGATCCTTGGTGGGGGCTCCTGGGGCTACACTAACACACAGACTAATAAGTAGGGGTGCTGCCCCTCCTAATAAATCATGCGGAATGCCTGGGCTGTCAGGTGGGATTCAAATCTTACTGGCACAAATTTGAGGTGACCCGCATAACTCAGGGCTTCGCTGTTCATGAATAGTGCACCCGTCCTAAACGAGCTGAGACAGCTTTATAACATGCCACACACCACGGTATCTCTTACGTAGCTGCAGTGCATGCATTTTCCTGGCATAAATTACTTACAGTGTGTGTGTGTGTACAATCCACGGCGACAAACCTACACACAGATACCGCCGTCTCCAGCTATCTACATACAGCAGTGGTTCTCAGCTGTGGTCCACTGCTCGTTCAGGGAAAGCCCCTGGTGCGCCGGGCCAGTTTGTTTACCTGCCACGTCAGCAGGTTCGGCCGATTGCGGCTCCCATTTGCCGCGGTTCGCCGCTCCAGGCTGATGGGGGCTGCGGGAAGGGTGGCCAGCACATCCTTCGGCTCGCGCCGCTTTCCGCAGCCCCCATCGGCCTGGAGCGGCGAACCGCTGCCAGTGGGAGACGCGATCGGCTGAACCTGCAGACGCGGCAGGCAAACAAATGGGCCCAGCCCACCAGCGGCTTTCCCTGAACAAGTGGTGGACCACAGTTGAGAACCACTGACATACAGGCAGCATGGGAATCAAATGTATGGACTTCTGCTTCAGAAACCCAAGTGTTTCCCCAGCGAGCAGAGACAGCTGCTCCACTGACTCCGGTAGCAGAGAGGTTTGAAAAATCCACTTGTCAAGCCCTTTTATTTTTGATAGTTCCTTCTGACAGTAAAGACATTTCCACGGCTTGTGTAGCTGCATCATCATTCCATCCCGCGAAGGTGGCTGTGCTCAGCACACTGTAAGAGCTCCTGGGTCTCCCAGGAGAAATGAATATGATCTAGTTCCTCTGTAGAAAACTTCTTCTCAGATTTTGGATATGTTTGTCCACATCCTGGACACTCACAGATGGATTAAAAACAAAGTTCTGGCACCTCCTCCTGGCTGACAGTTTGTGTTTATAGTTCAGCCCTTGTAGACGATAAACTCTTCAGTGGTGCATCCAAAGTTGATAGAGCCAAAGGAGTGAAGTGTCACATCAGAACAGTCAAAAGGTTCCACGAGAGGTAAATCAGACCCACTCTGTATTTACATCATCCTTAGTATTCGAGCCCTGCGAATCCGCAGATACTCACTGACCATTTATCCAGATTGCGGATCAGATGCGGATACAATTTTGTGTCTGCTCAGGGCTCTACTCAGCATCATGGTATCCAAATGCTGATGGAGCCAAATTGCCCAAACTGTGCGATCCAGGGCAATGAGCTGAACGTAGTAAGTCAGAAGGTAACTGTGTAATCAGGTCTGATCAACTCTATATTGGAGTAACTCAAGTAGGTTCTGTAGCTCTTCCCAAACAAATGGCAGTGAAAACAGCAGATTCCTTCCCCACATTGTCACTTTTTTCCCCCCAGTACTTATCCCTCCTGTGATTTGGGAAACAGAGGTGTTTATGCATCTCTGTGTATTTACCTATGTAAGAGCCAGGGTATTATTCTTAGCGATTGTATTTATTAGTATGTGACAGTTCTAGCAGGAATCTAAAGCTGTGACTCCTCCATTAAGGGGTGTGTACGAGCACACCCAAGCTGCTGGCAGATTTGGCTACACTCAGTGCAGAATATAAGGGGCCACCTACTAATTCAAACACTGGTCTGCAATGGCTTGTGGCTGGGCAGATGCTAATGCCAAGGTACCAGCTAAGTGCCCACTGCATGCACCTTGAAGTATAGCACTTGGAACCCACCCCCTTTTCAATCCAGAAATACAGCTCTCTTCTTACTCTGAGTCTGGCATACAGATACTGCTGTGATGCTGGTGGTATATGGGAGCAATTCCACACGCTCCATCGGGGAAGTGAGAAGTCCTTGATCAGCTGTGACACTCATTCCAAGCAGTGGAGGGCAGCAGCAGCCGGATCCAGCACTGTGGATTAGTGTGTAGTATGTGTGTGTTCGTGGGTGTGGGTCTCTGCATGCAGTGCGTGCAGCTGGGTGTGCTGAGGAAGGGAGTTTCTACTGCAGTGTGTGTGTGGTGCACACTCTGTCTGTCTTGCACAGGTGTCCGTCTGTAGTGCTTCCTTTTCCCACCGGTGCGCGGGAACCATGCAGAGGTGTCCCTGGAGGGTTTACTTCTCCAGGCAGTGCCTGGATGCTTTGGCTCTTTGTTTCTCTGTTGCTGCACTCGGGGTGTATCAGCCTGAATGGCTACACGCATGTAGTTGTGGATTTGGGACTGGCACATTCCCTGCCCTCTTGCTGTGCCTTGCTCTTTCCGGTTTGGCAAGTAAAACTCCTTCGCTGTGCTGCTGAAAAGCACTGAGATCTCTGATTAATTCCACTCTGATGTCAGACATGCGGCTCTGCTGGGAGGGATTTACAGAGCTGCGTTTAAGCTCTCGTTCACTGAGAGAATCTTTCTCTGTCTCTTCCCTCCCCCCTTCCCCCCCCCCCCCCGCCCCAGCTCTCTGAAAATGTGTAGACATTTTTCTGTTGAAAGGGTCGCTAAGGCTTGGGGTCGGTTCAGAGCTTTGCATTTGATTCCCTCTCTTTACCACTGGATATTTTTTCATTCTTCTCATTCAGCTGCCATTGAGGACAGAGAGAGCAGCTTTGTTGGAACAGGACAATGAAATGAACACCCCCCCTTTTTATCCCTGATGACAGCCCGTTACTTAGCAACGGGGTGGGGGGATTTTCACAGAAGATCAGAGCGTCAGGATGAGGAGATAACCTCTGCCATTCCCTCTCCCAGGAAACTTACTCAAGAGCCACCTTCCCTGTTGACAGGCTCCTGATTCTTTTCCTCCCAAGAGCCCGCAGGAAAGTCTCAGAGAGAATCCTCCCAGATGGCTGGCTGGCTGCCTCCCCCTGCAACTCCTCTGCTCAGGCACCCCACTCTTCAGTGACATGCTAAGGGCATCATGTAAAGGGAAGCCCAGTGTGGGATCAGTAAGCTCTCTGCATACACATGCAGGTGACTGAGAGGGGGATCCGTGGGCAGAAGGGAGAGCCAGGCGGCCAGGGCTGACCCCTACCCACACAGGGAGGGAAAGGAGCGTTCGCCTTTTTGTTCTGACAGTGGGCAAGGGAGGGAGGGAGAGAGACTGTGCCCAGCTCCGTGCTGAGAGCGATGGTTGCTCCGAAGAGGTCTCCGTGTGAAAGGCAGAGAGGCCACCTGCGCCTGGCAGCATGGTGCTGAAATCTAACCCTAGCATCATTCTCTTGTGCTCTTTCCTGCCCAGTGACTACATCATCGAGGAGAAGACGGCCGTGCTGCAGAAGAGGGAGCATGAGGGATTCGGGTTTGTGTTGCGAGGGGCCAAAGGTAAGGGCTGGTTTATTTCACTCAGGGCTGGGGCTGGGAGGGGAAGCTCCTTGTCTACAGGGCCCTGCTCTGGCTGGCTGCACTGGTGTTACACACTGCCAGCCCGTGGGCCCCCGTACAGCAGGGCTCTCCGGGGACTCTCCCTCCCCTTGTCTCATGCCTGGGCACATTAGAGTTTAACTCTGTTGATGTACATTGTCCACACCTGGGATTTCATGGCAAATGTGCAGCCGTTGCACCCTGACTGGCAGGTCTCTGCTAGACTCTGTGCTGTGCAGAAAACTCTGCATGCCGAGGAGTTTCACCTTCAGCCTATTGCATGTGGACAGTTTGCATGCTCTGTGCATGCGTGATTCAGACAGGGAGCCCCTCAGAGCAGGGCTCGTGTGCAGCCCCAGGCCCCCACGTTGACTGTGAATTTGGAGACCAGTTACTACAGTCACTGGCTGTGCTGGGGCATAACTGCAGGCTGGGAAGAAGAATCGTGTGGTGGAGCCTCTGTTCTGAGGCGGCCACTTGTGGGACTGTGCTGTCAGCCCTGCCTGATCAGGGTCTCCCCTGCTGGCATCAAGGGGACATTTCCATTCCCCACACTGTCTTGGGGAATTCCTCAGCTCACGCTGCCAGTGCATCTGGCTCCCATTGTAGCTATTGTGGCTCATATTACCAGGAATTGTTACCAGAAAGAATCCCTCTGGGACGGAGAGTGATTGAGCTCATATATTGGCATTGACTAACCAGCGTTAACCCTGAGCTGGGAGCATGGGGAAGGCAGGGGATTCCTAGGACAGAGGGTCATTTTTCCAGAAATCTCAGGTTGAAGACTGGGGCAGACCCAGCACTGAAGTGTAATCAGATCAGTATGGGAGAACATAGCCACAGTGATGTCTGTCTGTGTCCCCTCCTGCTCCCCAGGAGACATGGTACCTATAGGGAAGGCTTGGAGAGAGGCTGCCAGCTTTGAATAGAAGATCTGCTCCTTTTCAAGACCTTGCTGTGGGTGGAGACCCTTTTGATTTGGGTTTGAGCCCCACAAGTGATTTCCTCCTAGCATTCACCGATTGTCTTTTTCTGCATGTATCACAGAAGGGTTTTGTGTGCAAGTGGGTGTGTCTTTCAGTACATGTATGTGTGTGTGTGTGTGTGTGTCCTACTCATATCTGCTAGTCTGCAAATTGTGTAATGAAACTTGCCAGCCCTCAGCATGGCATCTCCCTTTCTCACGGGTTCGGTTGTCATGGTGCGGGGTTACTCCCGTAACGACCAGCTTTTCTCCTATTCTCTCAGGCTTTCTCAGTTTCCTCTCCTCAAGTTTGTATGCTTTGTATTTTCTTGTGTCTGCTGATAGCTGGCGGAAGAGACTCCAGGCAGGTTAGACAATGGGCATTTGGCTGTGGGGCTCTGCAGCCAAATGAGTCTTTGTGGGATTTTTGGTATAAATATGGCTTAGAGTCTGTATGACTCTGGGGGCCACAACACTACTGTCAGAGGCCATGGGGAAGCATATCAGAGGGTCATGGAGGTGAAGGTGGCTTTGAGGGCAGGCCTTGTAGGGGTTTCAGAGTAACAGCCGTGTTAGTCTGTATTCGCAAAAAGAAAAGGAGGACTTGTGGCACCTTAGAGACTAACCCATTTATTTGAGCATGAGCTTTCGTGAGCTACAGCTCACTTCATCGGATGCAGCTGTAGCTCACGAAAGCTTATGCTCAAATAAATGGGTTAGTCTCTAAGGTGCCACAAGTACTCCTTTCCTTGTAGGGGTGAAGATCTCTGATTAGTGAGGGATGGGTGTGGCTCACTTGGGAGCCCATCACTCTCCCATGGTCACAAACTGTTAATCTGGGAGTCATCCTTGACCCCTCTCTCCCCTTTACGTTCCCCTGATTAAAGCTACTGCCAAGCCCTGCTTCTTCCTCTGTAGCGTGCCCCAATCCACCCATCCTCCGTTCCCATTTCCAGAAGCCTTGCCCATGCCCTGGTGACACCCAGCCGGGGCTGCAGCCTCCATCTTTCTGGATAACCCACTCACCCCTCCCACCTGTTTATGTGACTGAAGAAAACATAAACCAGCCCCCATCCCTTCCTGTGCCCACTGTTATCACAATAAGTATATGGGGTGTTTCCTGCTCCCAGAGTAATGGCACTCACAGACAAGTGCACAGACCAGGCACTGATGTCCACTCACCCTACAACAGCCATAACTTTATTATTGATTTGGCACGTCCTGGGGCCGGGTGCTGGACAGACATACAGAAACAGGTGGGCCCTGCCTCAGGGACTTTGCCATCTAAACGAGTACTTGGCAGTTAGGTGAATAGTGAAAACATCCCCAGCTATGTGAATTGGAGTAAAAAAAACAGACGGGCTGTAAGCCCCCATGCTTGAAGGGAGGTCGCAGCCACTAGCTGACTGGGTTGGGGGAGAAGCAGCCCCACTCGTCAGGTTATTCCCTACGTGGTTTTTGTACTTTCCTATGAGGCAGCTGGTCTGAAGTCTGGTTGGAGCTGGGATCCTGGGCTGATCCTGTTCCTATTTCTCTTCCAAATGCTGTTGCTGAACTCCTCTTCTTGTCCTGCCTCTCTGAGCGTGCCATCTGCCCCCTTCCTTTTTCGAGTCCCTTCATTGGCTCTACCAGTCTCAGATTCAAACTCCTTGTCCTCGCTGTCAGGTCTCTACCCAGCTCTGCCCCCGCCTGCCTCTCTTCTCTCATCACTTGCTGCTTCCTGGCCCAGGACCTGCACTCTATCAACTCCAGTTCCCTCCATCTGCCATGAGCACTTCCACCTTCCCTTACTCTCCTCTGTGCCTGGAACAACCTCCTTGGTCTTACAGGCCACACAATATCCTTCCCTTCAGATCCCAGTGTTGTATGTCCGATGTCGAACCACACACTTGCACCAAACTAATTACTGAAAAGTAAACAAAGCACAAATGGAAGACGTATATCTAATGTGGTGTATCCACTGCAGAGTCAAGTAAACTCATGAGGGAAAGGATGGTGCTGTGGTTAGGATGCTAGTCTGGGACTCTGAACCCATAATTCACAGATTCCAAGGCCCAAAGAGACCATTGTGATCATCTAGTCTGACCTCCTGCGTATAACAGGCCATCAAGCTTCCCCAAAATAATTTAGTTCCCTCCCTCATTACAGACTTCCTGTGTGGCTGTGGGCAAGTCTCTGTACCATGAGATGACCGAACTTTCCAACCTCACAGGGGTGTTGTAGGATAAATCTATTTCAGATTGTGAAGTGATACTTCAGTGATAGATACGCCTTATTTCATTACGCTGTTCCTAACCCACTGACCTCTGTCTTTTGTCATCTTCATCGTTTGCTTGGAAGAGGCTTAAGGTTTGATACTTGATGTCCCGTGTTTGGTGGTTACACTCTTTGGGGGGCTGCATGAGGCATAGCCACAGTGCTGAAGCAGCACTTTCCATTGTGGGGCGTGGACACACGAGCAATATAGAAATATTCAAAGTACTGGGAAATAGCAGCTTCAGAAATCCAGTCATTAGCCATAGTCCCGGTGGAATCCCCTGGTCTCATTGTGATCATAATTCTGGGACAATGGGAATAAGACTCATACCTGCAGCTCATGGTATTAGCATACAGTTGGTTGTTGTAAATCCATCACCATCCTCAATTTAATGGTGGCTGAGACACCTGACCTTACTTGAACTTCTTTGGTTCATGCTTCTGGCCCTGTTTTGTCTTTGAGCCTTTGTCCAGAGGGGTAGTAGACTTGGTTCGGAATGGTTTGACCATGCACACTTTGTCCTCACCTGTATCGGGTATCACACCTTCAATGTGGTCTCCCTTGGTATATGAGTCCTAGAATGAAATAAACACTGGAGTTGTCTTAGTTACAGGGTAGGCACCCTGGTCCCTGAGATTCCTCTCTCTGTTGGCGATTTATCTGGTCTGTTTTTGGAATTGAGACAAATTGCTCTGAATGAGTTTGATTCTTCTCACCAACTGAAACTCTTCTATGCATTTGCTCTGGATCTCACAGCTTCCATCTCACAGTTTCCATGGCAACTTTTAGACTCTCCTAGGTCATTTTAGGGTCAGTCATCACCTGGTGGCGGGGTGCTACACTCTGATCTTCACGATGGGACTGGACATTGGAGAAGTGAAAATGACACACCACCTCTTCCTCCACACCACCACCTCTTCTATGCTGAGGCCAAGAACTCCCCTCATGCCTGAGGAGATGGGCGTGCTACTGTAAGTGCCTGCCCTAGGAGACTGATAGGCACAGCTGGATTCCAGACGTCTCTTGGGCGATGTCTAGAGTGGTGGCGAGGGGTGTGATTCCCCTGCTCATGTACACATGTTGACGCTAGCTCTCAGCAGGCTAGTGCAAGTACAAATAGCAGTGTATCCATGGTAGCTTGGGTAACAGCCGCAGAGGCATGGCTTAGCCATGCCACGTATATACCCAGCAGCTTCTGGCGGGTTTGTACTTGGGATGGCTAAGCCATGGCACTGCAGCTACACTGCTCTTTATACTCACGCTGGCTTGACGAGTGTACGCGAGCAGAAGAATCTCACCTCTAGCTCATAGTGTAGACCTTGCCCAAGGCAAGAGACGCTGCTCCTCTCCCACAGAACCACTCTGCCCAGGGATCAGTAGAGGAATTTTTCTTCTTTGAGGTGGAGTCTGCATAGTTCCACATGTCAGGTAAGTTTGTCCCAGTGCACAAACTTGGAATCTGCTACAGAGCAAAGTTCATTAGAGCTACTCACCTCCCCTTCCTCCTCTTCTCCTGCAGAGCTCGAGGGTAAAAAAGGGGAACTGGCCCCAGATGACGGCTGAAGGTGCAGTGAGCTCAGAATTTGTTCACTTAAATTCATGGCCTCCCTCATTTTTTTCTTCTGCCCCACTGGAGCCTCTTGTTGTGTATACATATGTGACGATGTGACGCAGCAGAGAGGGGGGAGTGTTGACCTGGGAATGTGCCCTGGGGATGGGAGACCTGAGAGCCTGTCACCT